AAAAAAAAAACACGTAAAAAGATTCAAAACCTGTTATAAAAGAAAAGGGGCTAACGAAAAATAGTGCGCCCCATTGATCGGGGGGAGGCAGGCTGAGTACGGTAATGGAGCTGCGCGACAACTAAAAAAGATTCGCAGCGTGCCGTACAGCGAACTGCCGCGATAGGGGAGAAGTTCCGTTACCCGAGTAGATCCTGTGTGTTGAAAAGGGCTGATAGTTGTTCGCTAAGGGGTATTGATAATAGCTGTTAGGGACTAACAAAGAGCCATAGAAGGCTGGAGCCACTAGGCCCATTTGTAACTCCCTTTGTGTAAACGGCAGAGGTTTAGTGCTTCAGAAGAAGGTGATGGATATGAAGGGATTGTAGTGATTATTGACAAGTGCTGATAACAAGCTATAAGAGCTGACAAGAAGCGAGAGCCACTTACCAATAAAATTCTTACACCTTCGGTAGTTACGGTCCAGCTTTGACATTCTGATGTGTTCCATTCGATAAAACGAGTAAATGCAGGACCGATTGAGGGCACTGCGCCGTACGACTTCTACCCAAAAAGCTTGCGACTCATTAAATGATCATGGTTCCGTGTTTCGATATCATTTTTGGCAAAGCTAATTTAGCAGCCAATGATCTGGGACTCCCAACCAATGCTACGCTACTCGTGGAGAAAAGAATGTCCATGATAGCGTCGCTTGGAAATGATTGTCATTACCACTCGACACACTTGTTAGTGCAATTCGAGGCTTCGATTGCCCAACAGTTGAATCTGAAGTGGGTGTTTTTCTGAGATGTAATGCAACCTAGCGAGACTTCTGGTCATAAGCATAAGCATCAGCATATGATGCATACCATTTGCACTGATCTGTTAGTCTCGTGCTGCCAAATTGCGTGTTCGTAAAAGTACCATTTGTACCAAAAAAGGATTGCCGGATTAGCCGCTCATTACCGCTTTGCCATGAGAAAGAGGAGAGCTTCGCGTTAGCCGGCCGATCCCACTGATTAATTATTCGTAGTAGTACGACCATGAAGGTAATTGTGGCCCTATCCGTAGTCCCCGTAACTTGGAAGGATACCTTTTTTCCCCTTTGTCAAACTCGTAACTCTACTTCGATGAGTGAAGATAGATAATATGATAGTATCGGGCGTGGTCACAGAGGGATGCGACGCGTAAAACCGACTGGACACATATCCCACACACGTTTAGCAGTTGGTGCAGAGAATCGAGAAACTTAGAAACATGGCTGCTGTTTGCTATCACCGAGCCGAGTTTTTGTGAGTGCTCAAAAAATGACGCCATGTAGACGCCGGCATTGGCACTTTTCACTGTATCGTGCATGGTAGTCGTTCTCTTTGCCCTTCAAGCTTGGCAGTTCGTGTTGCAAGCAAAAGGGCTGTACAGGACTGCCACAAGTCAGCCGAGCAAATCTGCGCAATCCAAATCTTAAGTTATCTTACTTCAAATTCCTTACTGTGTCGAGATGAATGAGCACTTGACTCTCTTGTCCTCAGTTGTCCCTGTTTAATACCAGCGTACTCATGCGACATCTGCAGATTCTAGCAACACCAACAAAATTAAGCCATAAACTTTATTTATCAAGCAATCGGAAAATCAAGTGTACACACGGAAGGCACTTTCGGTGAGGCGCTCAAAAAAGGCATTACTTAATCAGTAAATCAATAGATCGACGTTTAAAACACACAATAAACTTATAGGGGAACCCATACGAATCGATTTCGATTTATGTTAAATGTTGAAAAATCAATATGAAAAGCTACACAAGAAAAAATTGATATCGATTCGAACGCATTCTTTTAAATCGATCGATAAACAATAATTTTCTCCTAACGTGGAACTGTACACCTATCACAGTTTTGCTGACGCAGCAACGGGGTGGGTGTACTGAGCTTTCTACCGCTTCGCCTCCCCAAGGAAGAGTTGAGCCAGCGGACGAAGTCCCACACATCTCACACCCACATGGAACACAAATGAATTATGGAAATTAATATTAAAACCTTATTATTTTAATAGAATCTTTAAAAATAAAATAATGTACACATTTGGCGAAGGCGAACAACTATGTATGTGGCCGGCAGCATAGGAATACTAAATGGAAAAGTTACATTACCCATGCGTGGTGGAATATGCAAATGTGTTTTTGGTGTTTTGAATAAATTTTTGGTTTAGCGGACAGCCCACACATCGGCAGCTGCACCCGGATCGGGTTAGTCCACGTAGGTCCTGCAAAGAGAATGAATTACTTTTTTGCACGTGTATAACGAAGAATTATTGCACTGAGGAACAAGTGTATGTTGCGGGATTTACAGGTAGCGTTCAAAATCCACCTAGGCCAACCAAGCATTCCATCCCTCCGGGGTCGGTGAATTGGTACCAGATTCGTCTGGGAGGATAAAAGCACTGACTTGTACATCGGCTGGCCACCGCATATCATTGTGTAGGCTACATACTCGCTCATTACGCCACTACGATTCTGAATAGAAGTCGAGTGCGGGGTGTATCTCTCAGACGGGATTGAGTAACGCCAAAAACTTCAGGCTTTAGACTTTAGCGTTCGATTCGTGTCTCAGGCTGTGAGTTGATTTGCTCAAAATTAAAGTAATATGTTTGCTGTTCAATAAGGTTCACAGTTTCTGAGTAATTCTATATTGATTGCAACTACGAGGTATTTGCGAAAAGCACCTTTCAATTGAGTATGTTGAACAAACGAAGTTACTGTGGAGACAACATATTTTTCTGACGAGACGGATCGAATTTTCCAGTAACCACTTAAAACCGCAAATTAGGAGTCAATTATCAAGCGAGAGGAGATCTCCGTTTGAAACACTTGCAGGTGATTATCTAGGCATTGAGTATGAAATTGAGGGGATTTCTGGGGATTGCAACTTTGGACGACTCACAGGAAGCAACTTTTCTTTTGCATCCCCACAATTGAAAGGAGTTTGGGATTTGTAGTGGCAGGTAACGCTTTTTCAGGTATGGAATCAGGTATGAAAGGAAGGGTTTGAGCAGTTCCCATTCGATGATGGCCTGCTAAAAAGCGTACCGATTGGGAGTGATCCAGTGATTGAGCTGTGGATCCTTGTTTTCTTCGGCACATTCACACTCGTCTTCGCTACAGAAAGGATGTGCATATCCGCAATCGAGAGCTGTAGAACGACAATTCGGATAGAATCTGGAAAAAACAACGCTTTGTTCATCTAATATGGCTATAAATCTACTAATTCAAAGATGACTATTCACAAAGTGGGGCGAGCTTATGGGAACAAAATTATGTGACGTAAAATCTTAATTGCAATTCAAACAGGAAAAGACTTATTACTGATTCATTCCTTAATAAGATTTCACAAGAGACAGTAATTCCTTTTAAAAATCTTCATTTACTTTGACGTAGTCGCTTAAACGCTTCAAAGAGGCGTTCACTATAGCGAGTAGATGGTCTTCGTGCGACCACTCTACTCCCTCTGCAGCCTACCTCTGAAGAATCGAGGTCTCGGCGTAGTTCTGAGCACGGTTTACATCCAAGGACCCTGCATAGAGTGAAGTCAAGCAGGTTTAGCGAATCGGAAACCCATTCATCAAAGACGATGACATCGCAGTGTTCCTGGATGATACTGTCCTTGTAAGAAGAAGCACCGTTTTGGTGATAGCCCCATTTCTTGTTCCAGCGACGTCTCTCGGCACGTGGTGACAATTCATTTTTCATAATTTCCAGATAGTCGTTCTTGCCTCCCTATCTGTGAATTGAGGGCCAGCGATTTTCCGGTGACGGTTATTTCAGCAGAAATTATCAACGATTTAGGGTTAGCAGTATGAGTTACGGTCGTCTTCAGTTTAGATCTTGCGTAAAAACCATCATTCTGCTTGGGCGAACTTTGCGCGGTTGTGGAAATCTTCTCGTTCGTAAGAAGAATTGTTCTGTGCGTACTGCCACGGAATCGTCAAAGGAAATTCTGCAGCGCTGGTCTCTCTTTCTTTTGGCTTCAGCAGAAAAACTGAATCCTTCCTTGTATGCTTTCATTTCTAAGTAATCATTTACAGCGTTTGCATTGATCGCCCAAAACTTACCAGTTCTCCTACCATTGTCATGACTGACTGCGCCGATTTCAAATGCAGCAGATCGCGTAACTTCTTGACGTTCGTATTGGTCAATACAGAACTAAGTTTTCCACGCCCTGGTCGGTCGGAGAGGTTCCTCAATCTCTGGATCTTGCGAATGTTTCTGTGAGAAAGCTCCTTGACCCTTCTAGACGTCGAGAGATGTCTATCGCTCGCGACCCCTTACGATGCAGGTCGATGACTTAACTCCGGTGCGGCGATGGCTTCACCATTTCAGACAGAAAGCAAGATTTTTTTTGATGTAGAGTAGGAATCTCCCTGTGAGTTGGGTAGGAACAAAAAGGAGCTCTTCACGAACGAGACCGCATTGGGGGGGGGGGGGGGGGTGAAATTTTCCGCACTTGCCCTTGTTTCCGTTATTCTACCTTCCTAGAGCGCTGGGACGTCAATCTGTTGAGCAGAAAGTATGAGCATCCGGAAAGATATGGTGGGTCAGCAAACCCATGACCTAGCTGGGATCCTCATATAAAACACCTGCAGAAGCCTATTCAACAATAGGAGATTCGAGAACTGACAAAAAAAGTTGTGATTAACTCATTCCTTGATTATTTTCTTCCTATATTTTTCCGCGGCCACATTTTAGACACGATCTGGTGGAAATACGAATGAAGCCCTTACCTTGTAAAAGTTTCCAACAGACTTAACAAAGAGAATCTACCGATTAGCTTTATGTAGAGAAAGTTGACTTACAAGCACATCTTATAAGGATGCCAAAGTGGACAGTTGTTGTTGACGCGATGGTGGCGGTCTTCCCATTGTGGGCACTGAGGCGCCGGTTTGCGGAACTTTTCACGCTGTTCTGGAAAGGACAGCTTATAGAGAATCGTACCTATTCATAGATATCTGTAGTAAATGCCCCTTATGAATGTGAGCGATGGTGCAGGAACAGGTAACTCACCTGAATCCCTTGGCTCACGTCCTTTGTATTGATTCGGACTGTTGTTGGTAGGTGTTGAAAACGGATTTCGGCCACTTCCACGGCCTGGTTTCCAGCCACACTGCAAATACCATTACTAATCTCAGGGCAACTTTTTCGATAATTGTCAACTTCGCCGACATGATGACCGCATACCTCCTGTCCATCCATCGTCTCGTCCTCCTTTCGCAGTTTTCCACCGTACCCATCATCGCCATTGTCTTTCCACATGTCACGTATAGCGTACGGGGCACGACGTTTCTCGTCGTGTCCCTTTTGGAATGGATTGTGCTGGAAGGGATTTCGACGTTCCGTTTGACTAAAGGGATTTTTTTGCTCGCGTGGTGGCTCTGCGCCACCCACACCCTCCTGTGTAGCATCTCGTCCACATTTGGCGCAAAAACGTGGTGGTTCCATCAGCTGTGCGTATGGCGGCGGTCCATAGGACACCGGAACGAATTGGTTTTGCGGTAAGAAACCTGGCAGCATCTGAAAACGAGATGTAGTTCATCACATGCATCTAGTTTTTGAGATGGGATCTTCTCTAGAAATATTTACGGTATGAACCACAATGAGGAGAAAAGCAGTCGAGAAGATAACCAACCTGGGGTGCGTAGATGTTCTGTGAGCCACCATCGTCAATGCTATCGACGGATGCATAGAGATTCTGGCTCGAATCGCTGAAATATAAGTCTTTACAACCTCTTTGACAAGGTATCCCCAGAGTTGGTAGTACTGCAGGTGCAAGAGGCTGTTTCTGCTTCTCTATGGTAGAATTGGCTCTGATGAAATGGCAATAACAACTGAGTGAAATATCCTGGCCTATTCTATGATTCGGAGAGGTATCAAGCATATCAGATCATCCCGGCATGGCTAATTGTTCCTTTTACCCATAGATTTGTATGGTGCGAAAATAGTGGAGGGTGCTATGCTGTAGTAGAGTGGGGGAATTCCCTGAAACAAATTGAAAGCTCATTTCACTTGAAGAGCTTTCTCTTTGTTATGACAAGTGAACCCAGAGACCATTCCAATTCTCCGAGTCGTTTCCTTTCTATCTATTTCTTGTTATTCCAAATCGTTGTTTTCATAAGCTAACAAACAATAAGCTAATAAAGCAATCGGTCAGCGAACGAAGGAGTAGAAAGCTAGGAAGTCCTAGTTTTCTCGAGTGGAACTTTCCATCACCATAGGTAGATTAGCCGCGTATAATGCTTTCACGACGTGCACCCCGACAAGAAGAAGAGATATGCAGCTCCATGTCAATCCGTTTGGGAAGGTACCTTCAGGGAACGAACATCTTCTCATTCTCGCCTATTCTCGAGCCTTTCCGCTTAGCCAAAGTTACTAACAGAATTCCTGACTCCACGAATCCGATTCCTTCGACTATGGAAATTCCTCTACAGTTTTCTGATTGTCACGAGTTATGACAACCTGCTTCGCACCTGCGTTCCCTAAAATAGTGATGGTCGAATAATTACGCCTCCGCAGATGAATCGTTCCGATATAACTATGAGGTCGAAAAACCGACTCGTCCTTGCTCTGAGCTGAGTCGGTCAACGTGCATAAGAAGACAATACGGTGTACGGTGAAAAACTTTACAGCGACCTTGTTCACGCCGGTATCGTCGCACGATCACTGGCCGACTGTCTGCAGTGCTGTCTCTCTCTCTCAGCCCACTAGATGAACTGAAAAGCGCCTCGCCCGAGCAATTCTGTCACCATTTGACCGCGATCAATCGCGCGATGAATGACAGTTGACGTCGTCAACTTGTTATGGGGACGGCTATCTAAACGCAACTTTGTAACCATTTCACTTCTAACATTGGAAACTTTGCGTAATCAGTTTTCAATATTTCATAGTTGCGCATCATGATTTTGTACCTTTCCATTTCGCACTTTTGTTTTACTACGATTCCTGCCCTTACATTTTTAAACTTCGCTGTTGTTCGAACAGAACACCATACATTCAGCCTCCACAACCACATCGTTTGGCCTCACATTGGGTCAGAGCAAGCAGGTGGACGATTTTTTTGGAAGAAGAGACCTAAGTCTATCCATATGCATGAAAACACCCTGCAGCCACTGCGGCACAGTTACTCAAAGACTCTTCTACCTACTTCGACAATTCTTTTAAAGATGAGTGTTTCACTACAGCCGGAGAAATCGAAAGGGTCTGTCGAACACCCTCAAAATCGAGAACTCGTTCTTTTGCAAAAATTCTAGAGAATGGGTTGCGAGTAGAACAATAGAACTAGTTGCTGAATATATTCTTATGTATTGATATCCCATTCGATCCAAATTATCATTAATAATCCACTGTTGCTTCACCTCTATTTCGGCAGTTTCCATCTTACTGTAGTCTATCACAATTAGTTACAAAACTTCGTAATGAGTTGGTACACGGTACACACGATGCGTACAGCACACAACGTACAGTAGGGACTGCGTGAAGCACCTCAATGAGCATGCAAACCGTACAATGCATATTTCTAAGAATTCTACCCCTTTAATTTCCAATTCTCAGAATGGTGCGGCGTCGGAAATCGCGTCCGGTCAACTCACTCAAACCAATCGAGGAATCTGCTTTTTGGGGAATTCGATAAAATAAGTGTTTTTTGCGAAGAGCAACGGAAGAGCTAGTGAACAACCTAGTAATGTTAACTCTTCGATATATGGTGGGACTCGGTGAAAGGAAAAATTTTCTCTTTGTTCATAAAATTCCTAAGCCTTGAATCGATAAGCGGGGCCACTACCTAGTAATAGGAGAGGGGCACATGGATCGAATACGGTCACCGACTTCACCACGTTTTGGATCTTTCCACAATTTTTTCATGTTTTCCACCAAAATTATGGAAAATCACGCTAACTAGCTGCCAGTACATAGATGATATTACCGTTGACAGAAGATGTATAAGAAATAGAGGCATCCCTCAGCGTATAGCAAACAGGAATAGTCTAAAGTCAAAAAATTGGTTTAACTGCTGATTGTCTAGCAACAGCACTGGCAAGACCTGTAATATTTTCTTACAACCCATTTAGGAAAGGTTCCTGATGGGAAGGACCCGAAAAGTTCCTGTTGAGAAGGTTTTTGAAATTTGATTGCTTCTATGAAACTTTATCAACAGACTCACAGATGCTATGTCTAATGAGTCTCCGCACTTCCCATACACAAAGAAAGAAACCCATATCCCATACAGAAAGAAACCAAAAGGGGAGAGAAGAAGGTACCCTTCTTGATAAGAGTACAATCCGAAGGGCCCGTATTGTTATCTATACACCATCACCAAGATGTTGTACCCTGCCTGTGCGAATTCCGTGGGCTTGGCGAAGTAAGAAGCCTAGGTGCAACTTAATACATGCGAATAAGCCATTCGTGATAACCATAAACTTCTATTACGCCCAAACCTTTGAACTTGACAATCATGGGAACTGAGGGGTCTCTATAGGAAAGTATGAATATTAGCATTTTTTTCAGACATCTTATGTGTGCTCATAGTAATGCCTTTGAGCTGACGTCGAAGCCTATATGCCAAGTCTTCCTAGATACTAATCTGACCTAAGTTTCATTCAACAGGGATTTAAAAAAAAAGTCGAAATGACCCAGGAAAATCTAATGGCATTACTGACCTGCTCAGGGGCGATTCCGTAGTGCCTATCATATTGCCATTGACGAACTTCTCCGTGGCTGCCGGCGTGGCGTCTGGTGGTGCAGTGCTGTTGGTGGGATCGTGAGCACGTGGAGGCGCCGGCGCCATGGCGCCCGAAAGGCGCGAAAGCAACCGTGTCAAACTGAAATCGCACCTGCACTTGAATATTACGACGTGAACTGCACCGCCTGATGAAGTATAAACGTGAGATGTGGGCAAAATGAATAAAATGATTGAAAGGGAGTGTATCAGAAAGCATGGCACGACCAGCAGCTCAGGAAGCGAGCGAAGCGAAGAGGAGTGGATGATGTGACAGAGCCAGTCACGCCGTCATTGAACCTGTCGAGTTCGACGGCGGCGAGAAAAAATAGAAATGGGGTCGAGCGGACGAACTGAACGGTCGTGCTGGAAAATGTGAGAAAATAACCGCTGTAATGTAGTATTACTAAGGACTGTGAAGAACTGACTGTAAGTGGGATTTCAGAAGCATAGCACCCTTACATAGAATGAAGGAACCGATTTTTAAATTTGGTGTTATGCAGATTCTCTTCAGTCGGCGACCCAATTTCCACCCTCCTGTCTGCATTCCATCAGAGTCGTTTCTTCATGGTATTTTCCCCAAGTAACTCAAAAATTACCACAGCAAGGGTACTGAACCAACTCAAAGAGATTATTAGAAAGTATCAAACAGATCAAGACCATTCTCATCATGCTCAAGAACAGTATTTGTCAGAAAAGTGATCGGCCCTTATACCAGTACATGAAATGTTAGTTCCAGAAATCGATTCCTTTACCAGAACACGACAATCCATTTAAGGCAAAACTTATTTTGATGTGTTCTCTCGTCTGAAAGAATGCACTTTAGTTGTAATATTTAAGTTTTTGGCATTGAAAGGTGCGAAAGTGAGCTCATAGCTATGATACCATCTTGCCGGAACCGACGATTCTTTAGAATTTGCTCGGTTAATATTCATCACCACTTATTAATAACAAAGAATATAGGGATCATTTCCAGTTCTTTTTAGGTTTCTATCTCACTATCCACTAATATCTGAGGTAGAGGCATCGAGATTGGGTAACCTTTCTTTCATCTCCAATGGCTACCTGAGCTGCGATTGCTGAGCCGGCCTCAACGATTACGCCAAGGATTTCATTCAGGAAAGATCAGAAACAGTTAAACGTTTTCAAATGTAAGGTCAGATTGGATTTCCATGGTTGAAAAACGTATGCGGCGTCACCTACGACGACCCCTACAAAAAAATTTAAAAACGTTAGCGTCATATGGAGATTGTGACGAAGGATCTAACATTGAAAGAAATTAATTCTGGACAAAACTTTTGAAAAAGAATGGAATGCGAGCGGTAAACAATCTCGTTCCTCATGGGAACGCGATCGTTCACTAAGATCAACTGCTTGAACCCCAGCGACTTCATTAGAAAATCCTCCCATAGGAATAGGAACAACCTGTCAAAGTTGGGATAGATAGCCGATCTGGGTGGTGAAAAGGCACATAGAATTGAGAAAATTGAGGAATTCAGAACTTTGAAAGGTGAGCTCCATCCTAGAAGCGGTAGGATCTTTAACAGTCTTTAACAGAAATTAAGTACCAGTCCAGAACAATCAGTTCCTACGTTTTGAAAAACATCAGCTTCAAAGGGTTTCAAAAAAGAGCATCCTTGAAAAACAAAAAAACAGCTGAGATGTTGGAGCGCGTGACGGTTTCAACGCCATTTGGTAGAATTTTCTGTGTCGCACGTCATCGACTATACGATATGACTCATCCCGATGCAATCTTCAATCATCGTTTTTGTATGGAATTTTCCTGTTTGATGAAAAAAAATTACGTGAAAAGTTCCCTTTGTAACTCAGCAAGACTTATTCAATTTCCAGTTTTACACTCATTCAGGTACTGTGAGTTACTGGGCATCCGTGAGTTTCTGATGTCATTTATTCAACAAGAAAATGAACATCAAGTGAAGATCTGCAGAGTGCGCTACACTGGCGTTCAGGGCATGGTAAAAGATAGCCGGAATCGACTGCCCCCCCCCCCCCCCCCCCCATAATCACTCTCACACGACGCATTAAGCTTTTATCAAACAGGCATCTCCGATAGAAAGCCTGTCAAGAGCCACGTGAACCTTATTATATGGCATAAATCAAGCCATAATGTAAGTACGGTTCAGCGCTCTACTCGAAAATCTCCTAATCTGCCTTGCTCGTCCATGGTCATCGGTTCTATGAAACCCCTTCCAATCAACGGCCCGCCGTCAACGAAAAATCGCTCATCAATGCATGGTAAGAAAGAGGGATCTTAAGGAAAAACACGTATCCCAAGATAAAAATGTAGGTGGTTTCTTGAGATTCACAAAGCTATCAACTACCATTTACCCTAAGTAGCTCAAGAGGATAACCCATCCCCAAGGCTTAGAGTAGGAGGTTTCAAAAAGGGGTTTTGGGTCAGTACTCCAGAATTCATCTCCTTTGTGAAAGTAGTTACGACAAAAAGCAACTGTTACAGCGTCTCACACACTTAGACGTCACCACATGAGCTTCTTTGCTACCAATGATCTCCATTTGCGAACGGGCAGAACTGCTAAATCCAATTTGGAACATCTTTCATCTCACTCATCCCTATCCATGAAACGGGGCTATGGGACTTTCTACAGGGAGTAGTCGTCGAGCTGTGACGAAAACTCGTTCTGGGAAGTTTTTATAGAAAGCAACTCGTGATCTGATAACGACCCCTGATAGTTATGAAACATCCGTGTCTCATCGATTGCTCCTGTTCACGAACTGATAAGAACCGACTTGGAGTTGACCATGTTTACTGAATGGTGGTGTGCCATGTGCGGAGCAGTCTTTCATTCACCAGACATACGCGCCGATGTTACCCGCGATCCCTTCGACCGCAATTGTGCGGAGTTGACCTCACCACTCATCAAGGTGCCAATTAAGCAGCTCTTGTGACAAGAGCACGGAACTTGTAACCGAGAGATACATAGAGGACATCTAGGGAGAGCGATAAGAGACCTCAAGTCTCAGCCCTAGTGACCATATATGTGTATATTTGACCTAATCATGAATCTCCGTAATAAACTTAAGAGCCATCAAATCACTGAAACAGCTCCATCGGTATAGGAGTAACGATTTTTCCTGCCAGCTTCCGGACTCTGGAGGTTTGGCTATCAACAGCCAAGCTGAAATCCTTTCTGGACTTCTACCTCTCGAAATTTCGGAGTTTTTCAGAGGAGCACTGTAACTCATGGAACCGTCCTGAGTCACTCAGGTCAGTTTGGACTAATATTCCTTTCCGGATTTCCTTATGGCGTCCATCGCGCGGTAGGATTGAATAGTAAGAGGATTACCGGACACCCACTCTTACTGTTCTGGCTCATAACCATAATTATCGCAGCTACTCATGAGGTAAGTTCAACGATGCGCAGATAAATGGTGGCGCATCGACAGATGAATTTGTGGCTACCGACGACGGCACCGACAACGACGACGACCGACTTGGGTTGGTCGACTGGCCAATGACAAAGTGGGCGCCACTTAAAAACAATTGGCAAGGACGTCGCCGCTCCAGTCGCGCACCGACACAGCCGTTGTGCCAATGCGCGCAGCCATCAGAAACGGGTCAAGAGTGCGGGAGCGTGACGACGTGGGTGCCGACACATGAGGATTCGCACGGTCAGGCAAAACCCTTCACAGCATGAGGTCGTTGAAGGATCACAATGGAAGGACAGAATTCGGTTCGAGTTCACAAGTTTATTCTTCAGCCTAGCAGTCAGCAGACAATTTTCGACAGTTCTGGAAAGAACTCTAGAAAACGGAGAACCTTATCACCAAATCAACAACAAATTTCGAGAAGCACCCCAGTAGATTCCATCGTTTCTCTTCAGATTCAGCCGAAAATCTATGTTGAACCTCAAAATACCTGATTTTCTTCAACACGGGGTCTAGAGCTATTGTTTTAGCTTAAACCTTAGCTGAACCCACTAGACATGACCTGTGGCCCGAATACCGTACTTTCCCTATCTTGACCGGCCTTGAGCAGCAGTACTAGGCCCGAACATTTTTGAGTCAAAATGTGAGCGACTATCAAAGCCAACGTGTCCTACGTTTCTGGGACATGACCCCTTTCGCGAAGATTTTTTTTCATGACGATGATGAGATCTAGAGATATTCTTCAAATGTTTCTGAATAGGTCATGAAAGAAGCAAAATTCTTCTCTAATGACGCGACATTGTTTATTTATTTACTATCAGCACGTTGCAAATTACAGTTCCGACCAGCTCCATGGGTTCAAGTTGGGAAGTTAAAGCAATTTACGCTTGTACTTTCATTTCGCTGAATTGAAGCAGCATTTACCGATGATAGTTGTAAAAAAGAACTCGTTGGTATGTAGAAATGGTGGTAAGAGGCGACATTCCCTATTTCACGGATGAACAAGAGCACTGCTCCCGAACTGTTCAGAAATCATGCGACGCTGAAAGGCTTTCAGGCAGTGAGGGATTCCGATTGGAAGAACACATGGTATAAGGAAGCTTACACAGTTGGAAATGAAGTCCAGGTTGAAAGAACAACATTATAATGAACGATGACTGAGCTGGAACTACTTACAGTGACACTGACCGGCCTCCGGCAGGTAGGTCCGGGCAAGGGGGCGTGGCCACAGTAATCTGCAGTGGACCACGCCTTCGGCAAGGAGATTCCTGTTGCAGATTACGATAGATAGATGGGAGATTTATGGCGGTGTTCGGAAGGGTATGATTTGCGAATGAATGAGGACTGGCTGATGGCTGCAACGTAATTACTGTTATGAGTGGGACTGGTTACGTACAATGTTGCCGTAGCCAGTAAACGACCTTGATCTGGGTTATGGGAATATTGAGATTATCCTTATATGTTACGGAATTGCGATATTGTGTGGATGCACAAGAGCGACTTTTGAGAAGAGGTTCCCACATGGTTTGTCAGTAGACTCATGATTTCATCTCTAGGGTGCTATACTGCACATAAGTTTAGTTTCAAAAAAGTGGGCAGCAGGTGAGGGAGGAGGCATTGAAATATACCGAGCTTAGGCAAAAACTATATTTTCGAAGCTG